TCTGGAACCCTTTTTAAAGATGGGAGTGACATTAGCTACCTTCCAGTCCTCAGGAATGGAGGCTGATTTTAAGGAGAGATTACATATTTTTGTCAGGAGATCCACAAGTTCACAATTGAGTTCTTTCAGAACTCTCGGATGTATGCCATCTGGGCCTGGTGATTTATCAGTTTTTAAGTTGTCTATCAGTTTTAGGACCTCCTCTCTCGTCACCTCAATCTGACTCAGGTCTTTCAACACCCCTCCCGAACTCAGCGGCTCTGGAGTGGGCAAGCACCTCTCATCTTCCACAGTGAAGACGGAGGCAAAAAATGCATTTAGCTTCTCAGCCATTTCCCTATCATCCTTCAGTACTCCTTTTACCCCTTGGTCATCCAAGGGCCCCACTGCCTCCCTGGCTGGTTTCCTGCTTCTAATGTATTTGAAGAAAGTTTTATTGTTGGTCTTTACATTTTTTGCTATATGCTCCTCATATTCCCTTTTTGCCTGCCTGACCACAGACTTGCATTTTATTTGCCATAGCCTGTGTTCTGTTTTATCAGCCTCACTGTGACTAGCTTTCCACCGCTTAAAGGAATCCTTTTTACCTTTTACAGCTTCCATTACTTTGTTTGTTAACCATGTAGGCTTTTTCTTATACCTGTTTGTGCCTTTCCTAACCTGCGGAATATATTTTTTTTGAGCTTCTAGAATTGTAGTTTTAAACCGTTTCCAAGCTTTCCCAATGGTTTTGACCCTTTCTACTTTTCCCTTCAGATGTAAAATTTCTGGAAATTGTGACACCATGAGGGAAAAAGGGGTTTCCCCATTTTTTCAGGGGAAAATATGGAAGCAACATAAAATGCATCATTTATAACTTAGCATATCTTAAATTCCGTCCTCCCTAGCATCCTACACACATAGGCCATAGTCCAGCTAATGATTAGTCATGATTAATGCTACAATATTATGCATATTTTCCAGAAAGTAAGTACCACTGAACACAGCAGGATTTATTTCTGCATAAACATGCACAGCATTGTACTCTGAGTCCCATTGGAAGCTCTGGAACAAGTTAACCATGATTAACTTGCTTTGAATTGGAAATATTCACAATTAACTTAGTCTATTGGGACAGTATTTATTTATTTTTATTTTTTTCCGATTTATTGATCGCTCTTTCCCACATACCTGCGGACTCAGAGCGATTTACAGTTACTCTTGAGACAGTTGGACTAACAATATTTGTGGGGATAGGGAAGACAAACATACAGCATTAATTACACACACATTGCAGCTAGCGGGCTTCATCTGCGGGCTGGGTCAGTCGTGTTCCTACGGCATCTTGTCGGCTGGCTGATGACGTCTGGCTTCTTGATGTTGTGCAGCCATACACTGCCACCGCCTGGCCGACTCGCTCCACTGCAGGGAAGCCGACACAGTTCTTTCGTCTTTCCGGTCGCCGCACCTCAGAAGTTGCCTTGGCAGCTAACACCTTCCCGAAGGGAGGGGTGTGCCCACCCCCTTACAGGTGGTCCCCAATTTATCTACTCGCCGAGGCTTTCGAATTGCTGGGTAGATGATGAGCTAGGACAAGGCTTGGTTGCTCACACCAGCACGGGGCTAGAACTGCCAAAGCATGGCAGTTCAGATGTTATTGTTATTGTTAAGCAGGGGAAAATCCCCTGCGCCACCGCTCACTTTTATTGCATTGGGTTTTGCGTGAATAAAACATACAAAACTTGTGTTGGATATAGTGTTCTGCAAGTGGAGTTCTGCTCATGAGGTAGAACTTTCCCACCTTCCACTATAGTTCCCCTTTCCCCCAAAATGCTGCTCTGGGTTCAGGAGACATATACGCAGAGCCATCGGCATGATGTGGGGGTCCGCAGGTAGAAACTGGCAAAAATCTCCACATCCAGTGGTGAAAGTGCCCTCACATTATCAGAAATGGAATGCAGGCTCCAACTCCTTATTTTCACATTTCCATGTTTTCATAGAATCGTAGAATCACAAAGTTGGAAGGGCCCATACAGGCCATCTAGTCCAACCCCCTGCTCAATGCAGGATCAGCCTATGGTATCCCTGACAAGTGTTTGTCCAGCCACTGCTTAAAGACTGCCAGTGAGGGGGAGCTCACCACCTCCCTAGGCAGCTGATTCCACTGTTGCACAACTGTTGCAGTAAAAAAAAAATCCTAATATCCAGCCGGTACCTTTCCACCCTTAATTTAAACTCATTATTGTGAGTCCTATCCTCTGCTGCCAACGGGAACAGCTCCCTGCCCTCCTCTAAGTGACAGCCCTTCAAATACTCCAAGAGAGCAATCATGTCCCCCCTCAACCTCCTCTTCTCCAGACTGAACATTCCCAAGTTCCCCAGCCTTTTCTCAAAGGGCTTGGTTCCAGGCCCCCAATCATCCTCATCACTCTTCTCTGCACATGCTCCATTCTGTCTGCATGCTTTTTGAAGTGAGGCCTCTAGAACTGCACACAATACTCCAGGTGTGGCCTGACCAATGCAGTGTACAGGGGGCCTATGACAACTTGTGATATGAATGTTGTTTCTCTGTTATTATACTGATTTTTTAAAAGTTTTATAGAGATTTCAATTCCTTTTACTACCACATGTTATTACTAAGTTAATACTGCAGTACTGGGTTAGAGATTAATTCTTGACTGATGGTTGGTTTCTGTTTCCTTTCCTCCATTCATTATGTTGAAATTGCAATTTTAGTATTGTCACATTTTCCCATAATTATTCTTCAGGAAAGAAATAGTTCCATGATGCACAATTTCAACTGGCTGTTGTTGGATTATGAAGATGCTGTAGTAACTGAAGTAGAGGAGACATGGGTAGACAAGGAGTGTAAACCTCTGGATGATAAAAGGGAAACCAAAGAATCAGCTTCTGATATCAGTCTACCAGAGACACCACTTGTCAACAATTCTGATATGACAGAGGAAAATGGCTACAAACCTCAGGTCTGCAACAAGGCATCCCTATTCAGCAGTAGTTGTGGAACATATTCCCAAAATCTGGATACAAAATCAAATCTCCCAGCTTCACCCATGAATGTTTTAATAAAAAATTATATGAGCCCTATTACCGCCATACGGCCTACTGAGGGCGTGGATGAAAATGCACTTTTACTTGAAAAAGTCAATCTTATTCTGAGCAACAGTACAAGTGGGCAGAGCAACATATTCACCTTTACAGAAGAATCAAATAGTGCAATGGAAAATCAATGGAAGCTCCCATTATCAGAAAACAATATTCAAGAACAGACCTTGATACCAGATGAATTGCTGTCATGTTTAAGAACTGTGAATGAAAACTCTACAGATTTAATGTCTTATTTTCCACAAAGTATTGTAAAGTGATTTTGGAACAAAAAATATATATTAGTGATCGTGCAAACAGAACAGGCAAAATTTTTCTGCATATTCAACAAAAATAATTCAAATTATACTTCAACACTCATCGTCTTGAATGAGGTCAAAAGGTGCAGCTGGAGACACTTGCAGTATTATCTTTCCATTCAAATTCATTCTGGTGTTATAAGAAGCTCTTAAACTATAGACTTGAAGAGGATCAGAATATCATGTGGACAATCCTGCCTAGAGATGGGCATGAACCGGCTCATGAACATAAGTTCATGACAAATTTGGGCGGTTCGTGGTTCATGAACCAAAGTTCACTGACTAAAGACCCGCCATGAACTTCCATGAATTTTAAGGCAGTTTATGGCTGCTCATGAAGAAAAAACAACTGAATGGCAGAAAGCAGGGGTTTGAATGGCGCTGAGCCATTTCTGCTTTCTGCTCCCCACAAAAAGCAGTGGGGAGCAGAAAGCAGGGGCATGAACCGGTTCATTTTGCAAACCAGCCTCCCAATTCATATTGGTTAATGGTTCGGTCAAAAACCAGGAACTGAAACAAACGGCAAAAACGTGGTTCATGCCCATCCCTGATCCTGCCCTAACAGGTGAAGGTACTCATCTTCCAATCCATCATAAAACAACCTGTAAAATTGAAACAGCAGAGTTTCAAAACAGCAAAAATGAAACAGGTGTATTATAGAAAGCACTATGGTAACTATGGTTCCAATAACTGTTCCAAAGTAATAACCCAAGCAAGTGAGGCAAAGCAGCAGACTGCAGATGCAGCCATGAGTATCACAGGTTCCTAGCCAGTTTGATTAATGGGGAGATATAATATATTTAATTTTGCACTTGGTCTCTGAGTGTAAATCAAAACAATCTGTGCATTGGCACCAGGTACAGAAAGGGGAGATGTTTGGAGAAAAATCCTAAACTTTTAAACAATTGGCGGGGGGGGGGAGATATCAGAATGGAGAAGTGATACCTGCCCATCAGCAGCAACCTATCCAGAGGTGGCTTGGACCATAAAGTACAAATGGCACTTTCTGCTCCTAACCTCACGGATCCACTGGAGATCGATCAACATGCTGTCCACTCCAAGCCACCACCACCACCCCATCAGATGGCTGGTAGTGGCTAGGGGAGGGAAGATGTACTTTCCACTCCAAGCCCAACCCCCTGTCAGCTGACTAGGAGGGCGGTCTGGAGCAGAAAGTATGCAGAATGGACTTTCTATTCCAAGCTTCCACCCCAGTCACTGCTGGACAGCTGATTGGGAAGTCTAGGCATCTGGAACACTTACTACTCCAAGCCCAGCACTTGGCTAGCAGTATGCGTGTGGCAGAGGGTAAAACTTGGTGGACAGCATGCCTAGCACACTTCTCATTGCTTATCATAGGCCAGCATGGAAGGGGAACATGTGATGTCCCCACCCTATGCGTCCTTGGGTGTCCCCTAGGCTTACCAAATCTCGCCAAATCACGGCGGGGGATCCTGCATGTCTTCGCAGAATCCATGCCGTGGGGACGGCGAGACGCGTTGCACCACTGTCGCCAGGATATGACGCTACGTGTCGCTCTGGCAACGGGGCTGTTTGGAGCCCCGTTGCCCCGTTGCCAGAGTAACGCGTAGCATAAATCCTGGCGACGGTGGGTGCAACGCGTCTCGCCATCCCCACGGCACGCATTCTGCGAAGACATACAATCCCGCCCGCGACTTGGCAACCCTAGTGTCCCCCACTTGTTTGGTGTAGTGGTTAAGTGCGCGGACTCTAATCTGGGAGAACCAGGTTTGATTCCCCACTCCTCCACTTGCACCTGGCTGGATGACCTTGGGCAAGCCGTAATTCTGATAAGAGCTGTTCTCTCAAGGACAGCTCTGGAAAGAGCTCTCTCAGCCCCACCTACTTCACAGGGTGTCTGTTGTGGGGAGGGGAAGGGAAAGGAGTTTGTAAGCTGCTCTGAGACACCTTTGGGTAGTGAAGGGCAGGGTATTAATCCAATCTCTTCTTCTTCTTCTTCTTCTTCTTCTTGTTCCTGCTAAAGTTCATTTATGATAATTAGACAGATGAGCACAACCAAAATAAAAGCATGGAGCATGCTTTATTTACATACATCACACAACCTCCTGTTTCTAATTCTATCACTTTCTGATGTCCAGAGACAGGGCCGGTGCCAGGTTTTTTGCACACTAGGCAAGGCTACCTTCTGCCCCCCCTCCCGGTGCGCCCACCAATTTTCAAACATAAATGCAGCAGCAAACCAGTCCTGGGAGGCAGCAGCAGAGGAATGGGCTTCTGTTAGTTGGGTAAAAAGTTTCTGGACTAGACAATGGCATACCTAGACTATTTGGTGCCCAGGGCAGGTAATTTTTTAACACCCCCTCCTCGTTGTTGTTTTTTAGCATCAAGTCACAGCTAACTTACAGTGACCTTGTAGGGTTTCCAAGGCAAGAGATGTTCAGAGGTGGTTGGCCATTGCCTGCAACCACATCAGCCCTGCTTAGCTTCTGTGATCTGACAAGATCAGGCTAGGCAGGGGCAATCCAGGTCAGGGCCCCTCCTCTATATGACAAAATCATTTTCTGTAACAATTATGAAATAAAATGAAGAGTACTAATGGCCAGAAAATAGATTCAGGTGGGTAGCCGTGTTGGTCTGAAGCAGCAGAACACAGTTTGGTCTTAAAGGTGCCGCTGGACCCAGACTTTCTTTTAGTGGCCAGAAAAGAAACACAGACAGTGGAAATTTTTCTTTTCTTTAACTTTGTATATATAATCATGCCAGTATAAAAAAAATAACAATTCCAACATGCTATTCCATCATGAGATCCAACGTGGTGTAGCGCTTGAAGTATTGGATTAAGATCTGGGGAAACCACTTCTGAATCCCCACTCATGACACAGAAGCTTTTTGGGTGACCTTCGGTCAGTCACATTAGTCTCAGCCTACACCTGACCTGGATAGCCCAAGGACAGCCTGACCTCATCAGATCTCACAAGCTAAGCAGGGCCATCGTGGAGGTAGGCAATGGCAAACAATCTCCAAATATCTCTTGCCTTGAAAACCCTACAGGGTCGCCATAAGTCAGTTGTGACTTGACGGCAAAAAAAATTAAAACCCATCATACTACTCGAATTCTGATCAGGCATTTGGTAGGGCTTCTGTTCTCCAAACATCTACTACAAGGCATTTTTGAGAGCCAGGAGTCTGCTTTTGTACTAACCTTTCCTAACTAACACTAACCAAAGCTTCACAAAATAGTGATCACGAGCTTCACCAGAGACCAGACTGGATGTTAAGAAACGCACTAAAAGAAGGTGCCCCCATCCCCCATTGTTTCTAAAGGACTAAAGTCCAATCAGAGAATCCCTGCAGTAGAAACTGGGGGGGGGGGGATTTTGCCAAGCCCAGCAGAACCAGTGCAATCTACAGTGCCCAGGAAACTCAGTGCCACTGTGGCAATGCCAGGTGATGTCATGCACAGAACCACAGTCCAAGCGAGTGGCAGTAAAAATTTCAAGTTATGGCAGCAACTGTAGAGAAACAGGGGTATGTGTGTGTGCATTGTCCATATAACTGTGAGGCAGGGACTATGCATCTGGGAAAACTTTTTCTAATAAGAGACAAAGGTGGGCCCCCTTCCCTTGGAGGGAGACTGGGAGTCTCTGGGTGTCCCCCCCCCATCCTGGAAAGGAACCCCGTTTCAATGCCGCGCTTCCAGATACCAAGGGAAGGCGCCTGAGCTCTCTGCCCTGAGGAAAGTGCTGCAGGGAGCCTCCTGGCTTTGCAGAGAGGAACGAAGGAGACCCCCCCCCAAGGCTTGGGGCTCCTCTTCCTTCGGCCAAGCCCCTCTGGGAGTCCCCAGCAGTGTCTCACCCTGCCTTACTGACTTACTCATCCCGTCCCTCCTCCTCTGATGGATTTTTACCTCCTTGACTTCGCACCGAGAAGAAAAGTGCAGCTTCTGAAAATGGGAAAGCTGCAGAGTTGGGGGGGGGGGAGATCCAGGAAGGCGCCTTGCCCCTCAGTACTTCCCCTCCCCGCCTGCTTGGCTTCTTGCAGAAGAGGGTTAAGGGGGCGATGAGTCTGCGCTCCTAGAGAGAAGGGAGAGGGCGGCAGCACACCAAATTCCTGCCGGATTCTCTCCCCCCACCCCCCACCCCCAATCCTCTCGGATTAGGGAGCTGGCGGCGACTGGTGGCGTGAGCATGCGTGACTCTTTTGGCGAGGGGTGGGGAGGGGGAGGGGTGGCAGGCCAGTGGGGCGCCCTTCTCCCCTGGCACCCCTAGGCCAGTGCCTAGCCCCACCTTTATGGAAGCGCCGGCCCTGCCCAGAGAAAATGAGAAGAGATCATCTTTAGTGTGTACCTCTCCAGTTTAGCTACTTTTAATCAAACATGTTACTACTCCGGAACAATTTCTGGGCATCTAAAAGCACTTCTGTAGATATTAAGTAGCTACTGAAGCCTAGTTCAATGAAAGGTTGACCACCACAAAACCGCTCATTATCACTGGTTCTCACATTACATGGCAACATACGAAACTTTTCACATCCATGACCTGCATCTCTTGGGTCCCTGCCAGAGAACCCCAGGAAGGGATGACACTGACTGGTTAGTATCTAAGATCCAGGTGGGATAGCCATGTTGGTCTGAAGCAATAGAACAAAGTTTGAGTCCAGTGGGGCACCTTTAAGAACAACAAATTTTTATTCAAGGGATGAGATTTCATCCTCAAATATATGAGCTGTTAACTTCCATTTCAATGTATCTGAGGAAGTGTGCATGCATATGAAAGGTCATACCTTGAATAAAACTTTGTTAGCCTTAATGGTGCCACTGGTTAATATCTAAATATGTGAGAAGGTATTTACACCCTTTTCATCCTTACCTTGGTTCCATAAAACCCACTGATGGGGTAGCAGGGTTATAATGGCAGCCATGGTGCTGAGGTAATATATATGCTAGGGTTGAGTTTAATAGAAGCAGCACCCAGTTTTCCCATCAAGGATAACCCTGTCCCAGAGTTGCTTTCACAATGATCTCTCAGCATTTAGAGCTTAATGGTTTGGAGTTGAGGTGAGATGAATGGCTTTCTAGTAGCTGAAAACTGTCACTAAACATATGTGCCTGTAGTATACACATGGATCTAAAATTAGTGATGGTTGCTGTTACAGGAAGGAAATTGTAAGAT